TTTACTTGCGTACACGCGCTAGCTCGTATATAGGTACGTATATCCTACGTATAGCATGGGTATAGCGATCGTGGAAAGCGGAGAATTTGTGGGAGTTGCAATTTCAAGGCCGTTTTACGAGGTAGTAGTACGCGCGCGGCGAGTAGAGAGCGAGCGAGCGATGATATATTTTTAAGCCACTGCTGCTGCTGCCGCTTGCGAGCTGTGCGGCAAGTGTAAAATTCAGGAATCGAGCATCCGCAGCTTTGGCCTGAGTAAGGGGATGAATTTTTCACAGCTTTTAAGTGCCTCGTAGATATAAGTATATATAAATACGCGCGGGCGAGGCTTGCGCGCGCGCAAGGATTGTTTATCGCGCGATACAAATCGTAAAGCTCATTATCGGATCGATTTTCTTTATTTTAGCGCAGCAGCGTAGCGTGGCGCTAGATGCAGCTGCCGGTGAGATGCTGCGGCACTATACCCGGGTATTATGGCTGCAAGAAATGACGCTCTCTGCGCGCAATATGCCGCTGCTATACTACTGCAGGTGCATTGATAAAGTTATATCGTATATAGCGCTTCGCGCGACGCTGAGAAAGGGGGCTTCTCGCTGCAATATTCGAGGCACGTCGCGGCCACATCGATTCGCCGATTATTATACGCCGATGACGTGGTATTCAGCAGAGGCAGCAGCAACAGCCGCGTGGCTCCTTGAATGCGGTCATCGCCGCAGAGACTACCAGCGTACGTAGTTCGTCTTTTGAAAATCATAGGGCACGCTCGGACGTGCAAGGAACATGCATACGTGTATTATTACTCTCTTGTTTGCTATTACTATGGCTGGGTGCGTACTCCTCGTCTCTCGTCGCGTAACCGAATGTATACGTGTGCGTGTGTGTGAGCCTTACTTTGAAAACTCGATACCCACTTCAATTTTCAATAATGTCTCGAGTGCTGTTGTAGCCGAGCAGCTTGCAATATGTCACTTCAACGCTTTGTCGCCTGGCTTTATTCCGCCCTTTTTCGAGTGAAATAAAGAGAGAGAGAGAGAGAGAGAACGAACTTCATGTGTCGTTAGCAATCGCGATATCCACCGCGTGCACACGTGCTCGCGCGCGCTTAATTAATTAATGCACATTTAATTGGATCGCATCAGCTCTAATGATTATAAATAGAAGATTTATCTCTATAATGTTCCAACAGATCGTTCTTGCTTTTGTGTTACGTCTTCGGGTTTATGTACATCAATCGGATATTCATGTCGTTCTGTGAAACGTTTCTTGGTTGCAACATGCCATTATTATCCAGGATTTACCTTGACATGTATTATTTAAGGAATGATGATTCGTTCGCACAAACGAATCATACACACGATCGGCATTAAATACGCGTACTTTACGGGCACCAAGAGATATATACATAAATGGCACTGTAAATCAAAGATACTCGAGAGGCAAGAGAGAGCTTATATTCACGAGGCGGCGCATTACAAGCGATGCTTACAGCGCCTATTTGTCATATAAGGACGGATATTACGATACAAATCGAACGCGTGTATATTCCGCGCATATACGGTGTATCGTTGAAATTGACAATTACTCAGACTTGCGTGACGAGCATAATGCCGGTCAGAAATGTACGTGTGTATACGTCTGTGTGTGTGTGCTTGTGTGAGTGCATCGTTGAATGTGTAATGCTTGATGATTCGCTCTGCTCGACGCAGCTCATCCATGTAGAGATCGCTCAAACAAGCCGAAAATAATACACGCTTCGTTTGAAATATATACTCAGAAAGCGTAAAACTAAAAATAACACGTGATTCGCGATCGGACATGACACCGTGTCCGATGCATTTGTCGATTTTTGTATACGCGTCGCGAAGCTTTTTTGTTTTCGAGTCGCGCTAGAACGAGGCAAAATTTCAAGGTCTGCCTCACGATATTTTAAAATTTAAATAAAAAACCACATTACATGCGTCTCACCGATGGTATTCATTTGTTTTTACCAAGACTAAAGACAAGGTGATTTAATTCCAAAACCCCGACTCCATTCTCATGTCTCGACGTGCACATTTCATTAATTTCCAAGTTCCAAAGAAAAGCATTTTTTCTCTGATGATGCTGCTCTTGGCGCAGGGTGAAAAAAACGTATTCGTATATGATACACCGAGAGCATAATCACCAAATAGACGAGAAAAGCCAAAAAAGTTTAGAGCAAAAATAGGAGCGAGTCGTGCCTTTGCACATAGAGAGCTACGAGCGCGCCTGTGCGAGAAATATATACGCGAGCGAAGAGAGCGAATTTTAGCCTGACCGAGAAAACTTTTCCACACCCTTTTTTCCGTAGATATAAGCGTGCGAACTCTCGCACAGCAGCAGCAGCAGCAGCTCGGAATCTCCAGCTTCAGAGCTCTTTCTTCATCCTTAACTTTCGCTCTTTTTTCCGTGTTACATGCTGTGGATTCGCAAATGGTACAGTATATAGTCCTCGTCTCTTTAGCCGAGGCGTTGAAATTGCATCTTCTCTATGTCTAACGAAAGAATAAAACTTTTTCCTTGCTTTATTTGTTCAACTTTTTTTTCGAAAACCCGAAAGAAGTCAACGTAAATGCATGTACACTTTTCGGATGATGTTTTCATGCCCTTTGCTATTGGACCAGATAGGAAGCGAAAATAATGTACTTGGACAATAGTAGTAATTTATGTTATAAAGACCAAAAAGTGTCCCCTATAGCACGAGTATCGTATGCGATTTAATAGCACTGTGTGCTAAGTTTAGATTACGTCGCATTTTCCGAGATAGCGGTATTTTCTGGCGCCAAGCAGGTTAAACGTGCTTTTTATCGTATGTTTGGTAACTACATACGCGATTGATGTCGATCTCTGCTTGAAAAATATGTGAGAGTAGATTATGTTTTAATCTCCTTTCTTATTATGAGCTATGAAGCTTGAAATCCAATTATAAGCTCACGGGTATTTTCAATTCGAATAATGGTATACGCTTCAGTTTTTTCATTAAACTTCAACATATTCTAGCGAAGTGTCTTCGATATATTTTGTATAATATTATTTCAAGCAAAAATATTTTTCTTCGAGTACGTACAATTTCATGGCACATTCGGTAGTATTTTAGTTCCAAATAGTTTCCACGTTCGATTAAACTGACATGCGTAACGGATTTTTTTATTTTTTACACGAAATACAAAGAAAAGTAAGGAGAGAAAAGTACGCAACCAACGCGTAAAAAGCATTTGGAATACAATATGGAAATATCTTCGCGTATTTTTGTAGAAACAACGCCAACCCCTTGTTAAACGCAGGTGCGAACGACTAGACGAGTGAAAAATGAGGTGTTCGTACGAAAATATTTTCTCCATTTGCTACTTTTTTTTCTCTACTGTTCGCACCCTCCTCCCGGCTGTTCTCATTTATAAATCTCGAAGTTAATAAACGCGTTCCTTGTTTTGAGAGTACGAGCACTTTCTTCGGATGCGCGATCTTCCGTTTCAAAGCTACTCCCGCGCACATCCTGAAGAAAGAGAGAGAGAGAGAGAGAGAGGGAGAGAAAATAAGGAAAAGAATGAGGGTAGCAAAAGCGGGAGAGGGTATACTTTTCATAAACTTATTTATACAAATGGTGAAGGTGAAAAGCAAACGAGCTTTTAAAGTTTTAATTATTACTATGGGCTTGCTCTTTCTACAGTTCACTTTATAATTTTACTTCACCTTAACTTTATTCGTCCCTACTTCCATAATAATTTTCTCTCAAATATGATAACACGATGGAGCGCGAGAATAATAATGCAGAAATATCAATGGGAATTGAAAAGGCACTCGGCTTTCGATTCGCGTGTATAGACAATAACTTTGGAAAACTTTAGATTTATTATCGAGTCATTTGTAGTTTTACACGATTTTGCGTTAAAACCATTGCTCTCTTTGCCCAAGTGGGCGAGAGAAGTAATCAAAAAACTAACTTAGTTCGAGTTTCTTAGAAAGAACAATTAAGATCGATCGATATGGCAACATTTCCAAATGGGGATTATTTATTGTTCAGAAGTGAAAAAATGCTTTAAAACGTATATTCCCCAGTTCGTATAAGATTTCGCGGCCACTTGGCTGAATGCACAGCCCGAATCTCGAAAGGAAAATTATGTATTCGACTTTGAGAGGACGATATAAATCGCGCGCCAGAGAGAGAGAGAGAGAGAGAGAGAGATGGGTATTGAAGCGAACCGAATCACGAGCCCTGAATGAAGGAGCTAAGGTTGCCGCACACAAACTGCGAGATCTAATCTGTAGCGCGCAATCAGTAAGCATCGCGCGGGCAAAGGCACTATTACGGGGCGAACTAAGACGTAATGAAGTCGCGCCCCAAACAATAGCTCGCGGCCCTCAGTCTGTGTATATATTTATCTCGTTACAACTGTTGGTTCGCATTCGTTGTCACAATGCTCGTTGTCTGATTTGTAGCGCGCGCCGTGACGTGTCGTTGCTGCTATATCCCCTTGGCCCCCACTCCCCTCCCTGACCCCCGCTGCCGCAACCAAAGCAAGGAGAGCGAATTGAGTTTGGTCAGACGATGGCTGTTTCGATTTCTCTTACTCTCCTGCTGCCAGCGGCTTTCTCTCTCGACTCTTTGCGAATTTATATCGATCAAAGCGCGCGGCGCAACAAATTCGCAGCGCTGCATCTCTTCCTCCGCCGCGGCCGCCACCGCCTCTCCTGAGACAATAGCTCAACGCTTATGTGTCCCAATGGCCCGCGTAGGTATAGGGCTTGACCGCACGAGCTAATCCTATTAAAACTCTTGGGCAGCTGAATAGCGCGCCGCGGCGGCGGAGAGGCTTCGTCATCGTGCGCGCGGTCAAATTTGCGCATCGCTTGGCACTTTAGGGATCCGAAGTTTGGGCGGCGAAACCCTATATATATCTATACAGATATACCATGTACCATGCAGCTACGATTACGATTAATCAGCGGGGGCATTGTGTGTCTCTTCTCGTTCTTGTTTTACAGAGAGCACGTTCAGGGTAACTCTGCAGAAGAGCAGCCGCGGACTGGGTCTGAGCGTGTCGGGCGGCGCCACGGCCGGACCGGTGCGCGTCAAGCGGCTTTTCCCGCAGCAGCCGGCCGCTCTGTCCAACAAACTTCAGCCCGGTGACATTCTCCTGGCCGCCAATGGAACGCCCCTCACTGGACTCACCAACTACGTAAGTTATTTTAAGCGTTCATCTGCACACGTACACATCGCCCACGGAGTCATCGCACAAACACACTTACATACAAACTTTAGGCTCTCGCGCGTACGTAACGTATACGCGATAGGCGTAGTACAATGGAATATATAAGGCAGACAAGCTCACGGGTCAAATCGTTCGCTATGCTATATAGAATGCCTCGACAATCGCCTCTACTCTCGGCTTTCGTGCGACTTGTCTATGCGCACCGCAACGTCGGGCACGACGAAGAGGTGCTTTGTGCATCACTAAAACTGTTTAGATCGTGTTCGGCCGGCTTATTAAGCTGTACGTTGGGCTGCGCTGTATATAACCCGAATCGATACACCAAATGCGACTTGAGACGTGAGATATATTTTATACAAAGTAAAACGTTGAGTGCCCTCTGTAAATTTTACATTTAATTTATCGAGTAATAACGTTACACTGGATCGTGTCACGCGCGAGTTCAACTGTTGAAAAAAAAAAAGAAAAAGAAACACTTATATAGATTTACTCTTTTTACGAGCTCACTCATAAAGCCGCGCTAGGTGCACACTGTGATCATAGCCTTTTATACACGTATCTATTTTTAACGATTTTCGCCATTTTTTTTTGGTCAAATAAGTAAAAAAGCATAAAAATTTACGATGGGCTGGGTGTATGAGTTTTACCCGTGCGTTGCTGGGTCAGTGTATACAGTGTATAGTTGGTACTGCTTTACTGCCTCTAAATCACAAGGGTATTAAAGAGCTACAGAAAGAGAGCGAGAGAGAGAGAGAGAGAGCAGCGAGTTCAGCGCAGTCGAATTACTTTATAACGTGATCGAACTCATTGCGCAAATGTGCGCCCTACTCGGTCCGTTCTCTCGAGCTCTCTCTTACGGCTCGGGCAATTCTGCCCCTTTTGCGCGAAATAATTACCACTAATTTAGGCTGAGCTATACCCTGCGATTACCCCGAGATTTTAGCTTGCGAGAGAGAGAGAGAGAGAGAGTGAGAAGCGAGCTTCAGCTGCTCGTAAATACTATACAAGAATCGTGACTCGAGCGCAAATTAAAGCTGAGTCGGATGAAGAAAAAAAGAAAAAGAAAGAAACTCGAGCGAGATACGAAGACTTTTATATAGACATTATATATTTTCAATATTTCGTTTTTCAAACAAGCGAAAGCCATTCGCGAAATTCATTTTGAATGGGCCAAATATTTTGCGTGCGTGTGCGGTATAGATATAGATGGCCGGATGATGAACGAGTTTTGCGTGAGCTGCACGGGATTTTTGCGAACTATATACGTGGTTAAGCCATTAAGTGGACCGCGGCGGTGGCCGGCGCAGGGGCTACCACCGCGCATTAAACTATCCTATGCGTACGCGAACGCACATACATATATATAGCACAATGGCCTTTCATTATTAGTTCACAACTCGCATATAGGGAAGTAGGAGTGGGATAGAGAGAGACAGGGCAACGTCCATAATTCGCGTACTCTCTGGCATTGTCGCGTTACCGCACGCGCGTGGCCCACTCGCATGCGGAGTAATAACTGACTACGTCTCTCGCACTGCAGGACCGTCGATATATACGTATATACAGGGTGCAGTACACGCTTATACATATATGTCAGGCTGTGTATGTGTGCACTTATACGCGATCGCGTGGAATCCCATAGTGAAGAGCAGTGTCGAGCAGTATACAGCAGCAGCATACTACTATACCGAGTGGCATACTACTATAGCAGTCGATTGGCATTGGATGCATTAACACCCCCGCGCGTGCATCGCACGCGGACACGACCGAGCGTACGGGGAATTGCCAAGGAAAGCTCGACGATATAGCCGATACATCTATACAGATATACGTGTAATACGTACAACTACTACTACTATACTACTACTACTGGAGCAATGCAGGGCTTAGACGTACGCGACACACAAGCCGCACGTCGATGCAGCTCAACGTCGATCCCCGTTCGCATTCGAGCAGGCATTAATACATCTATACAGCATATCTGTATGGATCGCGCGGGGCTAGGGCTCATTAAAGATTTGCATATGATTAGCATAATGCTGCTATACACGACGACGACTTACTGGCCCGTCATCATCATGCGCGTATATTCGTCGTCCTGTGTGTATGTAGGCGTCGCTTATAGTAGAGCGAAGTTTCCACTCCGTATACACATACGCGCACGTGTGCACGTGTGTATATGTTTGCTATGTGGTGTCTCTTATTAGCGTTGCGAAACTATACGTGCAGCTGCAGCGCAGCACAGCCGACGGGTCTGCTCAACTCTCGCCTGTTTACTTCCATGTCTCGTTTAATTTGCTTTATTTCCGTTCGCCGGGGCTAAGACTAAGTGTGAGCCGGAGCTCGGAGCGCCAGCAACTTTCTTATATAAGCGCATACACACACAGCGTAAAGTCGACGACGTGCTAATTTTATAATAGCTCGTCTAGCGCGTGCATAATATTGGAATCGTTCATATAGGGTTTAGCGTGTTTATTAGTCGAAAAGTTTGCCGTTAATATCGATCCGCGCCCACACACGCGCGTATAATACACTTGTTCCTCGCGGTGAATCGACACTCCGCGTACGTACGTGGTTACGTGCGGGACCGATCGCAGCAAAAATCCCAAATTCAAGACATTTTCGCGTATTTCATTCTTCCGGCTCGACCCGGCTCTCTGAGCTCGCTCGAGCGGCCGTTCCAAGCCACATCAACCACATCCATTAACTATTCTCGCCTAACCTCGCGGAAATCTAGCCCGTAAATTCTGACTCTCGGCTACACTCTCTCACGCTACACGAGAAAGACTGAAGAGAAAAGCTCGGAGTAAGAGAGAAAAAAGAAAGTCGGCTTTTCAGACGACGACCCTATACTATACACCCACACACACATACACACATACACACATACTCACATAAAGAGCGAATCTGCTCCTGCATTCTCCATCTGAAACGTGCTAATCTGTGGCGCAGGAGGCATTAGAGGTGCTACGTACGACGTCTAATACCGTGGAACTGGTGGTCTGTCGTCTGCCTGGAGAATCGGGGGCGAGCTCGCCGCCGGCAGCTGCACCGCCACCGCCGCCCACGCGTCGTGACAACAATCCTGGGCTTACCTTAAAAATACCGCTGAATCCCCTGCCACCTCTGGACGTTGAGCCTTGTGGGGTGAGTATTCCTCCTGACTCGCAATTCCTTTTTCTCCTTTCTCTGTGCTTGCAAGCTCTATTTATTAAAACAGCCAAGAGAAAGCAAGAGACGAGAGAAAGAGAGAGACGAAGTCTGAAGCGACGTTTCTCTTTCCATCTTTCTTTTCGGATGCTGCTGTTTTTTTTATCGCCTAAATGCCACTGTCGCTTTTCTGAAATAACTTCGTTTGCTGTCGCGCTCGCAGCACGATTTTTCTGTCTCCCTCCCTCTCTTCTACTCCACTGCTGCACGTACCTTAATTCCTTTTCCTCGAAACCACACAGGAATTCGACATTGAAATGGAAAAAGTCCAAGGGAGCCTGGGCTTCACGCTGCGCAAGGCCGACAGCAGCGCCCTGGGCCACTACGTGCGATCGCTGGTGCGCGAGCCGGCCCTGAGCGACGGCAGAATTCAACCCGGTGATAAGATCGTCGCCGTGGACGACGCCCCGCTGTCGCCCATGAGCCACGAGGAGGCCGTGGCTCTGCTGCGCAACTGCGGTCCGGTGGTGAAGCTGCGGCTCTATCGGGACTTGGCTCAGACACCGGTATCGGCGCTCTCGCCCACCGAAGCCGATCACCCCTTCAGGCCGGGAAAAACCTGCTTGAGGTAAGCTTTTTCTTTGTACTTATTTCGAGCTTGGAATTTCACGAGCTCTCGCGGCAAAAATGACAGCTTTTTTTATCTGAATTCGCGAGTAAGTGCAAGAAGATTTTTGACCTCCCTCCGCCGGGGCTCTATACATCTATTTGGAAAATTCAATTCTAGACATTGGATATATCTGTAAAAATACTACTATTGAAAATGGGCTTGATATTTGAGAGAAAGCCCTGTGCGCCTTCGTCTTCGGCACTATCGGTGCACTCACAAAATGTGAGAGCTGTAATCTCTCCCTCCATTTTAGACACACACCGCAAATGGTGTAACTGAAGCTTTTCCAATAACTCGATATCGCGTCGTCGTCTCGTTCAGTTGCTGTATCATTTTTCCCATTCGAGTCACGCAATCTCGCACGCGTTTAAAGCAGCAGCAGCAGCGGTGGCAAGTGCGCAGCTATATCCCTTAGTGCTGCTGTGTATAGCCTGTTTTTTTTTGTTACAACGCAATATCCTCTGCAAATGTATTAACGCGCGTTACGTTACGTCTTCTTTTTTTTGGGTTGCAGGCAAGAGGCGGTGGACATGTTGTGCGATTTGGCCGTAAGGAAATTGTCGCCCGGCACGTCGAGTGGATCCAGCGGTCAGCGTCAATCATCCGAGGGATCGAGCAATTCTCCTCGCAGACTGCGACGACCTCGCTCGTCCAATACCGACGGTGACGAAGGTACGCCACTTCTAATTCTTTTTTTCTTTCTTTCTTTCAAGTATTCTCCCTTTTTTCCTTCTTTATCTTTCGCTCAACGCGAATAGATTGAAATTGAATTCAATTTCACGCGGATGCACGGCAGCGAGCGTAAACTAATGTCTAAATCAGACGGGACGCGCGGTACAACAGCTCTCGCGATAAATATTTTGTTGTTTCGGTATGCCGAGCCCTTCCAGTGGCTCGCCAGTGACACCCAGCCACGCACGCTGTCACTATATGTACGACGTCTTTATGACAATCGGACGCTCGCGTTGCATTATCATTACGGCCGATGTCACGCCTATCCCCGCGCGTATTGCCGCACGCGCAGCTATAGTAGCCAAATCAGCACAACGAGTGCTCGACCGTACTATACGCCACTCGCATTTTCGCTTGCTCCGATAGACTCTGGCCGCAATCGTATAGTATACTCTCTGGCATGCATAATTAAGTCTGTACTGCCCATATCAGCCGCGCACATGTATATACAGTATCTAAAACATTCGTGTACGTGTATGCGTATCTGTACGACAGACGCGGTAGGAGTCAACGGCAGCAGCAGCAGCAGCGGACGTGCAACAACGAACTCGGCGAATCGTAATTCGCGCGCCTCGACGCTCAGCCAGGAGACCTCGGACTCGGATCAATGCTCGATCAAGACGCAGATCACGAACTCGCAGCCGGAAACACCCATGGGCGCTACTTCTGGGGGAGCCGAGAGCTCGACCGACGCCGAGGCAGCGGCACAGCAGCAGCTCATCTACGACAACTGCGACTCGAGCGACTCGTCGCTGGTCATACCGCTGCCGCCGCGGCTCTCGCTGATCCACCGGCCGGATTATCTCGAGCTGAGGCACGAGCACCAGCAGCGATTCCGTTTCAGCGTCGACGACTCGGGCAGCGACTCGGGCCCGGTGATCGTCACCGACAGCGACTGCGCCTCCAATTACACGGCCCAGGACTATCACGATCAGGCGCTGCTGAGCAGCGACAACGACGCGCCCGACCTGGGCGGCAACGGCGAGCCGCAGTCCATGCCGCCGCTGCTGAGCAGCGCCGCTAGCAGCACCAGCACCGCGTTCAGCTACAAGAACCCGGCCTATCAGAGCGCCCATCCGGCCTACGGGCTGGCCTCGACGTCCCAGGCGGCTGGTCACGCCATGCACGTCGATCACCAGCAGCAGGCGGCCCACCATGCCACCAAGGCCAAGGGTAACGCCTACTCGAGTGAGCATGATATTCCTGGTATAATGTTTTCTTTTGTTCTCTTTATTTCATTCCCCCCTTTTTCGTTGATTCAAATATTTTCTTTTCGATTTGATAATGATTCATTTCTGCTTCTTTTTAATTCATATCTTTAATTCTTGTTACTTTTTGAAATTCAAAATCGAGGTTCCAAATTTCTGGAATGTTCATTGAGACGTCACAATTGTAATAACGCTAATCTTGAACTTGTAGGCAAAGTCGTGGGAGGTGACGACCCATTGGGGAGCAAAGGTTTGCTCAAATGGAAAGGCGTCATGTTCGCACCGAACGACGACGAAGTAGACGGACGCACCGACAAATTGCAAAATGAGCGAGATGCTCGCGAAGCCGCAGCCTTGCGACGCTTTCATGAACAAGGATACGAGGTAGGCGCATTAAACTGTGAACCAGCCACGAAGCTTAATTAAAATTTCGTACACGTTCGAACGTTAATTTTGATCGATATAATTTTCTCTAGGTGTTCATGGTCGAGCTAACGCGAGGTTGGAACAGTCGACTTGGCTTCAGCCTCAAGAGCGACGGCAAAAATACCGTAATTTCCGTGGTGCATCCCACCAGCGTAGCTTACAAAGACGGCAGGTTACGACAAGGAGATATCCTGCTCATGGTAAGTGAAATTAAATCGACCCGCGCGGCGTTTTACGTACCCTATATCTATATGTGAGGTGCAAAGCCTAATTTTGCGGCGTCGTATGTTGACAGGTTAACGAAGAAAGTGTGCAGCATATGTCGACGCCCGACATCATCGCTTTGATGCGCAAAATGCGAGGATCCGTCGGTATCACCGTACTCAGAAAGAAGCCCGACGACGAGGACTCGTGATGTTAGGACACGCGAGTGCCGGACGACGGCACTCGAAAAAAAAATTCACAAAATAAATATTACGTTTAATTGCGATAACGTGGATTTTTTAAATCCAAAAACACAAAGTAATGACTCAAAAACTTTGTAAAACGAAAACTAAATTAAAATTAATAATAGACTGATATCGTTTGAAGCAATAACGAAAAAATTACTCGTATTCAATTGTTCGAAAATTTGTACATATATTTAATATTATAAAATTAACACAACTCATTTGAAAGGATATCAATCGAGTTGACTTGAATACGAAATATTGATGTCATAAACGTAAATTCGAACTATTACCATCAATGTCGAGTGCCTAGATGCATTATTTCAATGACGTATGATCTGTAATGCATAACATCGTGGAACGATGTGCTCAAAGCATCCACGACATTAATATATTGTAAATACACAGATGTATAATTAATTTTTCTTCGTGCACGTATACGACAAAACTATGTGCGGTGATTATATTATCTCGCGAGAGCGAAGTGTGCAACATATGTGACATTCGGCCGAATAATCAATAGGCTAATCAAAAATAAATTATTAGCAATCAAGAGTCATAAAGTGAGCATGATTATTCTAGTTAATGAAGCTAGTATGAACGTAAATGTAGAACAAGTGTTTGGAACATATATGAGACATTTTGCGTCAAGTCTCGGAGTGCATTGGGATACTTTTTCGCGAAAAAGAAATTCATCAATTCGCTTATAGATAACGTATGGACATTGCGCTACGAAATTTAACATAAAATGGCTCATCACATACATACAATTATGTATACCTGAGTCACTAAATGCCAATCTGTATAATAATCTTGTGAAATTTCTGAAGCGAGATTTTAATGTTATTTTTGAAAATATAACATCTAAGCTAATTATATAACTAAGTCATTGATACGTGGAAACGAGATGGAATCGACTTTTATAAAGTGAAAATTGTTTAAACACCGACTTTGATCGGTGCTTTATTTTTATAGAGTAACACTTCTCGTTTGAATCGTTAATCGTTGCGTGCGTGAAAAGTCACGATTTTGAAATAATTTTTTATCGCTACTTTTAAATACTCTTTTCATACAATCATTAGAGTCACCGTTAGATAATAAAATCATACGACATATCACTGATTAAATACCCAACTCTGAAAATTTTTTTGTTTGCAATCGTTTGAATGGTATAAAGAGCCTCAAGAAACTATACAACAATTCTAAAAAAATATTGTCTAATAATTCTGCACTTGGGAATCTCACCCATAAATACTATACAAAATTACTTCACCATAATAAAGTAGAGTCTGATATGATAAAATTATCGCCCAATAATTATAAACAATATATCAAATGTCAAGCATCTTAATCCCTCAAATTATGTAAAGAAGAAAAGAGAGTATCGAAGCGAGCGACTATTCAAAAGGAAGCGGATTCGCGTTGAGTCTGTCTACTAAAAGAACATATACACTTCAGAAATGATTTGACGAAAGTTCATGAAACAAGTTTCGTACGAGTGCATGAATTCAACTAAATGGTAAAACATTTACGACGATATAATCTTAATGGAAGTCTAATGTGTATAACTTTATACAATACTAAGCATACATATTGAATGTGATAGTTATCTGATAAAAGAGTCGTTGTATAGAGATTAATAATTAAATAAGATGCTCTATCGAATGTTACTGTACCGATTTAGCAAAGAAGAAAATATCTATTATAATTAAATTTGATTTATTATTAATATACCAAAGTGCAAGAGTATGTAAATAATGAGATAATCAAAGACAATTAATAAATTTCGTGAGATTCGAAACGAAAATCCAATAATTTTATCGATAACGTATTATTCAATAAATGCTCTAGCTTCATTTTTTTTTAATCATAGTGGCATAAATAACCTTTATGTCATATTGCAATGTTATATCCAATATCGAATAAAGTTCATCGTCTTTCGCAAAAAGATTGTCAGATCATTTACCCGATAAATTTTACGTGAAATGAATACTCATGATCAATAATATGTACAAAAAAAATTGTTTATTGTATAAAAATATATTTAAAATTACGGCTAATCACACGATCGAAACAAAAACATAAACTTCACGTACATTTACAATTTCGACACCATTAACATACATTTTCTTTCAAAGGAGTCTGACCCCTTCGAACTGGCCTTTTCGCTGGATTCAGTGCATCATCTGATGAATTATCAATCGTATTATTATTAGTGGATGGTGGTCTACCTCTGCGACGCTTCAATGATTTTTCAGCAGGAGCATTGTCACGATTCGAGACTTCGTTGTCTGTATATCTCATTGGGCGAGTTCTTTGACGAACGGGTCGCCGTGCTGAATTTTCGTCGCCCGTGGAAACTTCATCGTTATTTGCCGGTAGAGTTGCGTTTTCTTTTCCGAGATTTGATAAGACTAGTTCAGGAAAAATTTTGTCACTTTCATCTACCTTACTCTTTTCTTCAACAAAAATTTTTTGAGCGTCGTTATCAACAATTTCATTATTTTTACTTGCTCTAAACTTATTTACATTAATGCCAATCATACTTGGTTTTTCAAATTCATTCGTCTTACTGGTAACGTTTTCGATAACTTTACTCTTGTTACTATCTTCAACTTTACTTTTATTATTTATTTTAACTTGATTTATTTTGGATTCTACTATAGCTGAAAAATATCAAGTGTTTTAAAACTTAAAAATTCTTTACCAACCTAAAAGACTATAAAAATTATAAACTTACAACTATTTATAAATTCAGATGAACTATTGAATGAAAAATCACTATCTTCTTGATTATCTTCTTCTATAGCCAGATTTGCTTTAATACCAAATGAATTCCTTAATTTTGATTTATTCAGTTTATTTATTTCTTCCAAATTAGTAATTGAATTTTCTTTTAAATCTCTGTCAGCCGCTTTTTTAACTAAAAAAATAAAATAAATGATTGAGATAATTGATTTTCATAGCATTATTTTTTAATATAACTACCATTACATACGCTTTTCAGCAAATTCATTTGAACTGTCATCAAAATCATCAATAATTGAATTGCACAATTCCCTAGCTGATTTTACTCGATCATCTAGGCTCATTTCATCCACGTCATCTGTTTTAAACCTTTTTGCAGCACCTCTTCTCTTTAAAGGTTTTGTTAAATTACTTTCTCCATCTGATTCATCTGTAGATACATCATATGGATTAAAATCTTTTGATGTTGATGGTTTAGGACTTGGCAAATTAGATGTGATTTGTGGTTTTTTCACAGGGCTTTCTAAAATGTTGCTGTTACTGGAATCATCTAAATTAGCATTTGTAAGAAATTTTTTTGAATCTTCCCTTGTATAATGTTGTAAAGGACAGTCTTGCTCTGAATCAGAATTTTCAAATGATTCATTTATGTCTGTAACAAGACACATATCTTCATCTTTATCAGAAACATTTTCTTTTTTGTCCTGCATTTTATTTTTAGATGTGGATGATTCATAATCTGTACTTGAGTTTTTACTCTTTTCCTCTTTGCTTTTTTGTTGCCTTTTTTTCATATCTTCTATAAGCTTATCAAAGCTTGATTTGTTTGTTTCTCCTAAAATTTTATAGAAAAAAAAACATTGAGTAGAGTCTAAAAGATGTTTGAACAATTTTTTATATTCATGAAATGTAACTTACTATAACTTTTTTGTGCTTCCTCTATTTTTTTTTCATCTGCATTTCTTTCAATTACAAGGCGCTGTAAAATAGATTCAAAAATGTATTTGTTTCTTTAATAAAGTCATTATTATAAATTGAAAAAAATTACGTTGGCTGTAACGGTGGGTACTAAGAACATGTCCATTTTTCGTTCCTGTTTCTCTTCCATTTCACATTGCCTTAGAAGTTCTGGTATTGATCTGGGTTCTAGTTTATCGCATTCAGAATTGTAAATTGTAGAATACCTTGTAAAGCGATTTTCTAATGTTCGCCTATCACCTTGAGTTGATAATCCCAATTCTCTCATTTTTTTACGCAATTCTGCTTCTTTCATTACTCTTAATACAAGTTTAGGTAATGGTGGCCGGTTATTTTTAACTTTACTAAAATAAAATATTATGACAAATACTTATATGATTCATTGGTATATTCAGCGTTTATATTTCATTTTACTTACGGCTTTTCTTTAATTTGTTTTTCAGCTGTTTCTCTTTTTAAACAAGCATCTAAATGAACATTAACATGTTGCTCGGAAATATCTACACTACAAACAGGACAGGAAACAGACTTTACACTGGTAACAGGCACAGAAGCAGTCGATACTGTTTCTTTTCGTTTTGGAGTAAACATCTTGGCGAGACTTGGAAGATTACTTAGGGATCTATTTGTACTTGGACTCAACATGGCATCTTTTTGTGAACAAACACTGGAAGTCTGTAAAAATGGTGAAGATGGAGTCTTAGGATCTTCAGACTTAGAAACCACTGTTTTAGGAGAGCTCAATCCAAAATTACTTATCACACTTATTTTTTTGGATGATTTTGGTGTTTTGGGAGATTGAACGCTTTGAGTATTGGTCACTTGAGTCATTGTTTTTGAATGATAAGAAGGTTGCACTGGTGACAAGACTCCTGCTTCTTTTTGTTGAACAGCAGCATTATAAACATTTCTATTTTCAATAAGCGTTATTATTTTTTCTCTGATTTGTATATAGTCCCTAATTAGTCCATCCATTGAACGATTTATGTACAAGTCTTTTTCATAAAATTCATTGAAACAGGCTGGGCATTGAGGCTTGTAGTGCAAATATTTTCTGATACATAATGAGCAGTCTGTAAAATTCAAATTTGATAATTTTATTGAAGTTTGGCTAGGTTTGGTAATCAAAATATTAGTTGCTTACAATTGTGTGAGCATGGCGTTATCACCGATGTATCCATGTAATCATAACATATTCCACAGATCATATATTCTTCAATGGTCTATAAAATAAGGCAAAACATTAGAAAAGTATACCAATAATGAAGCTAAGTAATTAGGAGCAGTAACGTATGCTACAAGCCAATTTTTTTGGTATAAATTTTAGAAATGTTAGATCATAAACTCACCTTTAAACCACTGAACTCCTCAGGCCAAGCTATTTCTCTAACTTTTGACATTTTATTGAATTTAACGCAAAACACAATAACTGAGGTTAAAAATGCAAATTTTTAAATTCGCTGTTAGAGAAAATAACTGCACGCTCATTCATGCTATTATTACATTTACACAAAAACAAATGTCACTGTGCATTATTTGGTTTTTCTTGTCAACTTTTATGTCAAATTTTATCGTAATATTTACACAATAAGCAAGGCAAACTTTGGGGGTGAGCTCAACGCGGAGTTACCACAGCACAGTTGCATGACAGAAAAACAACGGGTTATAATCCCGCGCAATTTGCGCGCGCAAGTTTTTGCGCTTGTCCTTCGGCTCGGCATAGCAAGCAACCACCCTTATCTACTGTGGTTAATCCTCTTTGCACTCACTGTTTTTGCAACAATTTTTAAAAAAATCTAAATCAATCTCTGAAAAAAACTTTTTTCCCACTCTAACCTAAAATACGCAACTTTGCCGCTAATTTTAGGCTCTCGTAGGAAAAAATAGTATCTCAAACTGGTGCAGATATGGTTTTTTAACAAAACTCGTTACAGCACTCGCCTTCGGCTCGTGCTATAATCCCTCGTTTTGCTAAAAAACCATATGTGCACCCGTTGAGAAATATACTATATTTACTATTGACTGTTATTCAATACAAAGATATAGGTCATATTCATTACTAATGTCGCATAGACGTTTTTTAACTTTATCGATAGATGGCGTTCTATGCTGCACTTGATGCGAAGCGATATAAAAATGTGTTCTGTCAATGTAATTCTAAATTATGCCAATAGAAATCTACGAAACTAACTTACGAAGCGATGTGATGTCAGACGTCCACATGGTTACGCAATTCTTTTGAAGTCAATAAAAAAACTATTTGAAGTAATGTAAAGTGTTATAAGCCTCGTGCATTTACAAATATTGTCTAATAACAAACAATACATCACTAACTATTACTAATCGGTACAATTTATGAATGCGATATTTGAAATATTGTATGAAGAAATGTATTAAATTAAAAAGACACGAGCACAATGGCGATATCGATAAAAATGTTAAGAATAAAATGGATTTTCACGGGAAATTCTCATTCGCAATTTACTTATTCAGTGCAAGACAATCGCATCATCGGTAGAGGCTGCATCAATTTTTTCGCACCTACATACGCACGTTATCGTCATCCAATAGACATCGTCAAGACGAGTAATCTGTTCTCGATTTTTTGTGCTTCACTTCTCTTGCGTTGCGTCGAATTTATGCGTTCGACATACGTGTCGAGACTGCACGAATCGAGAGCGAGAGAGAGAAACTCGGCGCTCGCTTTTGAATCGCGCAAGAATAAAAACAGAGATGAAAATGATAACGCGCCAGCAAGTACGTTTCATACACGTTGGGGCGGTAAGCGGCCGAGTATATAGCGCTAGCTACTGTCGAGACGGTATCGGAGCAGCTCTAGATATATAAACGGCAGTTGCAACCCCGAACGCGCGTGTCGACGACGACGACGAAATATCTTCCTCGACGCGATCGTCGCGTATAGATGTCGACATTGTGACGGAAAAGCGTCGCAGGGAGCTTTCACGACTGGCACATCTTATATATGAAGCAGTATAGCTAGCAGCGGCAGCTGGATCCGAGCAACGAGGGCCACAGTTCGCCGATTGCGAGCGCGCACGAAAAAGCCGTATAAGCGTCGAGTGTCGTGCGCTAAGTCGAGCAGTCTCGGGGGAAAATCAAATCGGTTAGATCATGTTTGAAAATCATAAAAAGCTCCTGCGCTCGCGATCACGTGTCGTCGCGTTCGGCAATAATAAGGCACTTCGCATTGCAGCGCGAGCTTCGTTTGAACTCGCTCTCTCTTTGTCTGAATTAAAAAGTTGGTCGAAAAGCTCAAATAGACGAGATCGAGTTATTTTGCATTTCCGTCCGTGTCCAATTAATTCATCAAATATCGTGTAAACTTCGATACACGAGTTAGGGGGTGTTATAATATTGACGATGTTCAATTGCAATAATAGTTATCATATTAATTTGTAGATGGACTTTGTAGTCGTACACCGATCGAAGAAATTTATGCTCAACGACACGACAGAGGTGTATTTACATATGTTGATATCGGACCGGCAGCTGCATTTTACGCAAGTCAAATTGAGTTTACACGGCTGCTGCACGCTCGTAGCTAGGTATGTATACAGCGCCGGAGTTTCGAGGCAACGTATATAACAGCGTAACATAGCAATGGCTCGCGTAGCTGCTGCAGCGAAATGCATACATATACTGGACGCGCATACGTACCCGACTACACAGCATCAGACAAGTCTCTCGAACGCTTTGAAAGCGAGGCGTGTCACGCTCGATTTGGCCCCCAAGCCGACCTGCGGTTATATCTCGAGATAGCTACCTACCCTGCCTGTGTGTATTTGAACTGGCCTAGGCGGCGACGCTTTCACGGACTCTCCGTGTGCTGTGCGTACGCACACAAAGTGCACATAGCTATTCGATTGCAAAAATAGCATATGATAGCGAGGCTGCTGCTTCGATGCAGCTGTCTTCGAATGGGCCACTCGAGTTCGCTCGTGCTTACACTCGAGGAAACTTTTATCGCGCGCGTCCCGACTTGGTAATGCGCGTCGCACGACGTTACATTACACGCAAATGGTCAAAAGCTCTCACTACGTACGTATAGCGGCCACTTTTTGAGACGGGCAAAAGCGGTTCGTTTGAATTTTTCATACAGCTCCTAAACTCGACGATTGAGTAATGTGTATTTATTTTTATCCGTCTCGCACTTCAACGAATACAAAAGCTTATTATTTCGATGACTCTTTTGAACGCGCTTCGGACCGAATAAGCAATAAACGAAAAATCCTGTATGCAATTGAGATATAAGCTGCAATTGCTCGATAAATTTCTAGCGACGGAGTGCACAATGCGATACTATATACAATGATCTGCGCAGTGTGCAGCATTACCATAGTGGCAAGCGGCTCCGGGTTTCAAAAGTCTCGATGGATTATTTAATCCAAAGCATATTGAAAACGGCTTTAAAGAATAGAACGCACACATTAAAGTATATATATGCGCAGGCAGAGTAAAGGCGGGCACGAGAAACGCGCTGTCCAGAGAAGATAAAGAAAACGAGTAAAAGAATGAAGATTGATATGAGAAAATTCTCATTTTCTCTCCGTCGAGAAGAATCAGCGCTCTCGGCGCTCGAAGCACTATGCTTGTTTGGGCGCAAAAAAGGAGCAAAAAAAAAAGGAAAAAAATCAATGCCCAAAGCGGCGCTCAAGTGCGAGCTTTTCAGCGATATAATAATATATAGATAATCAAACGGCCGGCTGCATTGAATATAAACATAAACAAGTTTCTGACTTCCCGTTACATATAGCGCGTAGCAGTCGGCGAACAGACAATGTGCTGGCCTGCTCATCAACCTTATAGCGAACGCATCTATATATATAACACGTGTAACTTCCGTATACGCTGTGCAGATAGGTATACACTGCGCAGACACGCATAAAAACGGGAGATCCGCTTTCTCTCTGTCGACGTGCGCCTGCACCTATAGATATATATGTAGCGCCGGGCGGGCTCTTTACGTATCGCGTAGCAATTTGCCGATACACAATGTGTGTATACACTGCACCACAGCCGCCCGCGCACACATGTCCGATGCGAGCCTGTAATTACTCTCCCGCGCCGAGCTGCTGCTTCTGCATCCCGAACAAATCGAACGAACTGACCATTGTGGAAGTTGAGCTCGCGGCCGACTCCTCCAATCGCATGTACATACATACCAGAGAGAGACTGACTCGCGTTGCTTTTGCCCAACAACGCGCGCGCGATATGCTGACACACATCCCTGCGACGACCTATACCAACGTGTTTTAACGTATATGGGATATATAATGTTGTGAAGACGAAATCGTCGTGCGCGATGGCTCTTAGCGTCGTGGTGGTTTTTTCGCGTGTGTTTTTGCTATTGCCGCAGTCGCGGAGCGCTTATTATTTTTATTTTCACGTTTCTACAACGATTCGTAGTACCTGCGGGACTGAGACTTTGTTTTTTGACGTGAAAAAAAAATTCAAGCGGGGCATGAGGTACAAAAAAAGTGAACGCGGCGTGCATCATTTTTATACGTATGAAAATACTCGCGCGTGCCAATGTTTCCATGACGAAAAACTGCTTCTTTATTTCACTTTATTTTAGCTGCAAGCGCAGCTCGCGAATGTGTTGTATATATTTTCGAATAATACATAGTCGCTTGCAGACAGGCAGATATAGATACGCGTTCCTCGCCATTTCTGCGACGAAGCTGGAATCCTGATCGATACCACCACCATGCAAGACGTCTTTTTTTTTGCAGCGACTGGCCTATATAGATCGCATAACTACTATATACATGCATATGAAATAGATAGAAAGAAGGCAAAAGAGAGGGAGAGAGAGAGTCGAATACACGCGCGACTAGAGTTACTATATGAGTAGCACCGCACATGAGGAATTTCAATTTTAAATATGGATATTGCAGCCGCAAAGAGAGAAAGAGAGGATATATATGTGGAAAGAGCGAGCGATTCGCTGGGCATCGGCAATGGGATTGACTTTTGAGCATTTACGCTATATAGTAGCCAATATATATCGTTATATATGTATAGTGCCAGCTGCGAAAGCTCTGCGCGCGTTTACTTCTCGATCTAGCCGCATGGCTCTATTTGCATTGGATATATTTTGGTTGAGGCTATAATATACAGAGAGAGTGAGGGAGCGAGAGAACGAGTGAGTTGCGCGAAGTGCGGCTTTCTGCTGCAGATTCGATCGTCAAACCCTCCCCGTCGTCTCCGAACATGTATACATGTTCGCCACGGCACAGCTAGTGTCGAGTTTGCATTTCTCTCTCTTACTCTGTTTGGGAGCTTGATACGCGATACAATGCCGCAACCGCATATGCCTCGAGTATCAGTTGCCGTAATTAAATCTTAAAAAGAGCGCCCCTCTACCGCGAGAGCTCGTTGCGAAACCCGTATAATGATGATAATCAACTAAACGAATATAATCTTGGAGCGCTAAATTGGATATTTCGAGTAATTTGAATATTACTCTTTGGTAGAATTCGAGTATATTTTTTTTTCTTTTCGTTGTAATTGAAGAGAAACCGAAATGTAACGTCAATATATACGTTTTTTGCATCAATATCATCTTTTGGAGCACAACACACGCAGCGGGGGCATCACTTGTATAAATAACAACTGC